TTGTCGTAGAATGGCGGAAGCCTTGAGTGACTTCTCCTCAAATATCCATATAACCTCTCATTATTGCAGACTTGAAAAAATATCAAATAAAGAACTCATTCTAGATAGCAGAAAGCTGTCCTAGATAAAAACTAAAATATGCAACACTATGTAATGACTAAATCTATTGGCCTTCTATAGGCTCTGTTGTAACCCATAATCAGATTTTAAAAAAACTGCTGAATTCTTCATTGAGAAAGTTCCTCAGTATCCATAAATTTCATCCTTCGGTGGCCCATAAGCTACTATCGAATTAGTGTTTTTTTCTCTGTACAATTACATGTTCTATACTATAAGTAGCTTTGGGTAAATTCTTATAGTTTTTGATGCCCACGACTACACATCTAACTGCAATAAGCCTGATGAGTAGGTTAAAGCCTTTTTTAATTCAGATTTTTGTGATATTTTAGTGACTGTCAAAATTTTATAGCTAAGTTCAAAATTTTGCTCAACAGTAAACTATCACCTATGAATCAAAAGATTTCGTATCGATGCGTAACAGTTCCTATCTAAAACGGCGAAAAATACCTATGCATACGCGATAAAGAGCGTTGATTACATGCTCTTTGGACACTAAAATTCTGGAAGTTTTGTTCAGTACAAAGTCCTCGCCAATTCATGAAGAAGGTAGATTATTTGAAAACCGTTTTGAACAATCGTAACTCAACTGTAATCTAATTCAGCGCAAAATTTGGCTAAGGATATGAGTGCTTAGTTAATGGTTCATATGGGTGTATCTTATGTATCCAGAGTCAACGCTAATAGTCAGATAAGGAAGACGCTATGGTAATTTACGGGAAAGACCGTAGTTTTGTGGTAAATGCATCTGATTGATAGCCTAACTGGACAATGCCAAAAAGGGATTAAACCAATAAAAGTTCGATATCGACCACTCCATTTGTATTTCAATCTTTTTTTCGCATCGAAAAATGCGAAGCTTCTAAAGCAAAGAACTATCTTAATAAATAATCCTTGATTTGATTCCTAATTAGAAAGA